GGCGTGCAGGAGGCAGCCGATTAATGACTCTCCTCATTGATGTTTCTATCTCTCTCTCTCTCCCTCTCCCTCCTCTCTCTGAAATCAATAAAGATATATTTTTTAAAAAAAAGAGAGACCTGCTCAATATTGCAAAGGAATAATCAGAGCCTTAGGTAAAAACCATCCCTCGGTAGAACAACCTTTCCACAATGTGCTCCCAGGAGATAAGGCAACAAACATCGCAGTCTATACCAGGTGATTTTTGTCTGCTGGGAAAACAACTGCACAAAGAATCTTTGCAACCTCGAGGGAAAGGACCACATCGGGCACTCTTATCTAATCCTTGCGTCACAAAACTTAAAGGCATTGATTCTTGGATCTATGTTTCTCATTTAATGAAGGCTCCAATGCCCAACTGGACCTCGGAGCTGACTGGAGAGTTAAGATGAAAAGTAGGTAGTCAAGCAGATAACATCGGAGTTGACAGCTTTCCCAAGATTCTGGACCCTGTGCCCTACTCTGACCTTATAACTGATCCTCGTCACGGCAGACCTGCTCTATCAAGATCATGCTGATAAATTTATTGAGCCTCTTAGATACCTAATAATTCAACATTCTTCACAATTTCCTAATTACCAAGATTGATATGCCTAATGTCCCTGAGGCTTTTGGAATGTTATGGTTAATTGCTCTTTTTATGCTGATCGCCTTGCTAAAGAAGGTCCAGTTAATTAGCTGGTGGTTTGGGAATATCCCTTAGTGACTTCCTGTGTTATGTCCAAAATGGTGACTAGTGCTTTGTAAAAATCAGTTTAATCTTAGCCGGAGTCTTTTCCTCCTCTGAGGGCACTTCTGTTGGCAAATGGAAAAATAATGTTCTAGTGAATTATCCCCAAAATATAGCAACTGGGAAAAATCTCTTTGAATGCTTGTGTGTCTCCAAAGACCATGATCATCCAGATCTAAAGATCCCCGCTAGTTATACCCACCACCAATTTCTCCTTGGTCCCCAATGCTGCAGTAGGCTTCAAGTCCAACCCTAAAATTGCCTACAGAGTAAGACTATTTGATTAGGTGTCCCCCCCAAAAAACCATTCTCTAAAGATTCATTCATCTAACAGTCCAACTAACTGTATACACTCTCACTCTTTCCTTTGCCTCCAGCATCAGGCAAATTGCTGACCCAAAACTGTAAGAGGTGTAACCTCAACTGTGTTTGTCAAGCTTTTCGTCACACAGAGTCCAGATGGTTACCAGCTGGCCCTTTGGTGAACTGCAATGACCACACTGGTCCTTGGCTGGAATGTATTCCTAAGTCCATTCCCTGATATACTCTTGGCCATGTACTATGTGCCCCTTTTGGTTACACTTTTGCTATTACATGTGATTACAAAGGGGAACCCCAGATATATGAATGCCTAGAGAGTTGGTGTATGGTAGGACAATGTCTTTTGGTCTACCATAACAGTCCATTTCAAGTCTTTAAAAAAAAAACAAAAAAAATCAAAAAACCACTGTCTCATGGGTCTAACCCGCTTTTTACACCTCATCTCCATTGATTACCATTTCCGAAAGCTTTGTTCCTTGGATTGGTGCAATCCATAATGACCTATTGACAAAGAATTTATCCCTAACCGTAGCTGCATTAGCAAACTCCACTGCTCAGGCCTCGGCTCAACAACCAGGATCCCTGGATTCTCTAGCAGGGGTTGCGTTAGATAATCAGACAATGTTTGGTTGTCTTCTTGAAGAACAAAACACCATTTGTGCCACCTCCTACTGTTCCTGGGTCGATACTTGTGACTGATGACATTGAATTCCAACTTGAGAAAATTAGAAAAGTAGCACAGGGCATCTCCAGTTCGTGTCTTTTAATGACACCTTCTGGTTCCCTGTAGATATTTTGAGTTGGCTTCCATCAGGTGTAGGCAGGACTTCCAACGTTATCAATGATTGTTATTGGAATTTTGCTCTATGTGCTTACGTTTAAACTTTTTATGCTGTTGCTTACTCGGATCTGTCCCAGAAACTCTACAACCACCAAGATCGTGATCACTCAATGAGTTAAAATGACAAACTAGACTTATTCAGCTAGAACTTTAGGTGGCTTAATAAAGTTCCCAGACAAGAAAACTGCCTAAGAGCCATGTCCTGACTGCCTCCTTGTTGCTCATGAGTGGCCTCACTCCAATGACACTGACTTCTGGAAATAACTACTGGAGATTAAAAATTCCCCCTGAGCCACAGGATTTATCTTTACAGCTCCATGATAATTTCTCTGTTTGGTGTCTGTTGTTAAATCAGCTGTTCGCGTAAACTACCTGGTTCTGCATCCTCAGCACCTGTGCCAGGGCCCCACCCTCTGGCACCGGTTGGCCAGCTTGGCGTGCGGCTGGAAGGGGAGCCCTGTGCTGCAGGGCACACAAGGGGGCGGCAGAAAGACAGCTTTCTCTCTTCCCTCTCAAACACCCGCATGGAAACCTTTCTGGTATGAAAAATATAGTATGTTCATGGTAGAAAAATGAAAAAGACATTAAAGAATAATAAAAGGAAAAAACATCCATAACCTCACTCTCAGAGATAGTGATTATTGCCATCTTGGTGTATTGGGTCGAACCGCATGAGATTGCTGATATTCGACTGTTTTTAACCTGCAAAAGTGATAATTTCATGTGATTTAACGTAATATTTCCTCCCACCTTTTTGCTACAACAAACATAAACGTATTTTTAAATACAAAATTGAGATAGGTGTGTATGTGTGCTATCTTTAAAGGCTGCCTTTTTAAATAAAATAATGATCACACACATAGAGTAATGTGATGTACACCAGTATGTGCAGTAGTTTCCTTGGGAAATAAAATGTCACACACACAACTGACGCCCCGTGGACGCCCTTCCCCAACAGTCACCCCCCCCTTTATCCTTGAGGTAACCAGTCTCATAAACGTGCTGTTCATCGTGTGTCACCACACAGAATGCAGGATAGTTTAGCATTCTTTCCATAAATGACACCAAGGTGGATAGATCATTCTGTGACTTTTATTGCTTACAAAACATTGTATTTTTAAATATGTATCCATGTGGCTGCATGCAGCTTTTGTTTATTTGTGTTCAGCTTTTTGTTATTAAATACTCACAGTGGCTATCTGCCTTTCTCCACTAGACTTAGTGGACTCTGTCTTTGTCATCTGTGGCTGAGAGGCTCCAGAAATGGGCATCGAGCGGGCCGGACAGATGCAGGAAGTGACAGAGTGAGAACCACTGAGCTAGAGAGCCAGGCCCAGGCTCCTCTGTTGGGTACCCAAGGTGCCGGTGATAAGAAGGTTCTCATGCCTGGGAGAAGCAACTATCAAAGATGGACACTGAATTATCACGTCACCTCTCCAGTGCCAGACTTAGGGGGCTAGAGCACCCCATCCAGAACTGTGGGGGTGGGGCAAGAGCCTGGGGAAAGCGTCTAAACTATCCTAAGCCCAGTCCTCAAAGATGAGTCGATCCCTTTCACCATGGCCACCAAAAGCCCACATTCTCAGATAAAAGCATTTCCATGTTCTTAGGATTCTTTAATTATATTTATCTCCAAGTTTTTCAGACCATTAACATTTATGATGGGTAGGAAATGGCATTGCTGAAGCCTTAAAACACAGACTACCAAAAAAATTGCTTTAGTAGTCAAAATCTTCCTGGCCCTGAGGAGTTTAAAATGCACCTGTAAACTGAGCTGTAAAACACAGGCTACCACTCAGCCACGGTGGCAATGAGGCAAGCTGGCAAGAGTCTAGGGCCCTGGGATCAGACAGAGGGGGTTCGATTCCCAGCTCTACCCCTTCCTGACCCTGCGATCCTGGGCGAGGAAGCTAGGCCCTTCCATTGCTCTCTTCAAACTGGAGACACCAAGGGCCATCCTGCAAGCTGCTGGGGAAGCCGCCTGGGGCCATTCGCCAAGGCGAGCCACTGCCACCAGCAAGCTGGCCCTCCGGGGAGCCACCTAGGCTGCACAGCTGGATNTCTACCCCTTCCTGACCCTGCGATCCTGGGCGAGGAAGCTAGGCCCTTCCATTTCTCTCTTCAAACTGGAGACACCAACGGCATCCTGCAAGCTGCTGGGGAAGCCGCCTGGGGCCATTCGCCAAGGCGAGCCACTGCCACCAGCAAGCTGGCCCTCCGGGGAGCCACCTAGGCTGCACAGCTGGATGCACATGGCCCCGAGCGAGAGTGAAGCTCAGCGACAAAGTCCCTGCATCTGGCCGGGACCACTGTCCCTTCCTGTCCAGCAGCTGGAGGCCACTGTTAGCCCTTTCAGAGACATCACTGTCCTTTGAAGAAGGCACGCTGCTGGCGTCCCAGGGAACTGCCTGGGCTTCTGCGACCACTCCTCTTCTTTGAGAAGATGGGGGGACTCAAGGGCCTGTGCCGGGAGACAGGCCCGGAGATGGGAGCTCTCAAAGGAAGAGGAATGTTTCAGGCGCCTGCGGGCCTCCAGGTGCAAGGCACGAGCTCAACAGCGTCCTGAGAGGAGGTCAAGTCTGGCGGTTCCACTGCCCCGGCTACTGCCCAGCAGACGTGGCAGGCATCTCTCCCCC